TCTTCCTCTGGTGGTGCCTGAACATGGGAACTGTCACTACTTCCTGCCCATCCTTTTCACAGTGAGAACAGGAAGCCGCAAAAAGGGGGGGGGGGTTTGAATCAAAATCAACAAGATCTTCCAAACCAATTAAGTTAACCCAATTAAAATCCTGTGTATAGAGTTGCGTTAACACACAGAAGAAATTTTTAACCATTTCGTGTATGCAGCTATAATATTTTACCTCTGATAAAGGGGGGGGCTCTGTGTAATCAAATTATGATTATGCCTTTGGGTGAAATTTCCTGTAGCACTTGGCTAACTATTGTCTGAGAATTTCGGAGCTAGACAGACTCTGAGAATTAACACATTCCTCTTTCTACCTTTTCTCCAAAGTATTTTGAGAAACCCCCTGCTTTAGGGCAAAGGCTCATGGTTAGAATTTGGCCTTTCCACCCAGTGCAATTGCAGCAGGTGGAAAGGTACCATTAAGTGAAAAATGACACTTTCTAGCAGATTCCATATCAGTTTTCCTCCTCCCATTAATTATACATTCACTGTGCTCTTATCAGTTAACGTTGATCACATCATGACATGGTAGGGACAGTAGAAACTTCACAAGCTTCATCCATGCTTTGTTTTTGGGAAGCCTTTTGTATTCATTTCTTAATTGCCCCTAGGAATTTAATAGAATAGAATAGAATAACAGAGTTGGAAGGGACTTTGAAGGTCTTCTAGTTCAATCCTCTGCCTAGACAGGAAACCCTACACCACTTCAGACAAATGGATATCAAACATCTTCTTAAAAACATCCAGTGTTGGAGCATTCACAATTTCTGGAGGCAAGTTGTTCCACTAATTAATTGTTTTAACTGTCAGGAAATTTCTCCTTAGTTCTAAGTTGTTTCTCTCCTTGATTAGTTTCCACCCATTGCTTCTTGTCCTACCCTTAGGTGCCTTGGAGAATAGCTTGACTCCCTCTTCTTTGTGGCAGCTCTGAGATATTGGAACACTGCTATCATGTCACCCCAGTCCTTCTTTTCATTAATCTAGACATATCCAGTTCCAGCAACTGTTCTTCATATGTTTTTGCCTCCAATCCCCTATTCATCTTTGTTGCTCTTCTCTGCACTCTTTCTAGAATCTCAACATATTTTTTACATCATGGCGAATTGGATGCAGTATTCCAAGTGTGGCCTTACCAAGGCATTATAAAGTGGTATTAACACTTCGTGTGAGCTTGATTCTATCCCTCTGTTTATGCAGCCTAGAATTGTGTTGGCTTTTTTGGCAGCTGCTGCACACTGCTAGCTCATATTTAAATGGTTGTCCACTAGGACTCAGAGATCCCTCTCACAATTACTACTATTGAGCAAGGCAGCACATATACATAATAGTTGTGTGGGTTTTAGGGTTTTTAGGGTTTTATTAACACTTATAGGCCGCCCTTTTCCCTGGGGGGACTCAGGGCGGCTTACATAAAATCAAGGGAAGGGATATACAAACAATAACACATACAAAACATAGAGTAAAATAATAAGCAACATTCATTCATCATTCGGGTGGGGGCAATTATCTTTGTCCCCAGGCCTGACGGGCTAGCCAGGTCTTAAGGGCTGTGCGGAAGGTCTGGACGGTGGTGAGGGTACGAATGTCCACGGGGAGATCGTTCCAAAGGGTTGGAGCTACTACTGAGAAGGCTCTCCTCCTTGTAGTTGCCAGTCGGCACTGACTGGCAGATGGAACTCGGAGGTGTGAACTAAACCATAGTTGCATTCAATTAATCCAGTATTATAGGATGGCAAAACACACTGAATCATTAAACTGACAGCCCAGAGAAAAAGGTGACTGGCTGACCTGTGGTTCTGCCTGAACAACTGCAGGGATATGTACTAGATGCTTGATATTTCAGAAAACACCCATCGGGCATTAGAAGAGCCCCTTCTATATATGGGCCCGAGATTTTTGTGAAATGGCATTAGAATTTTATTTTTATTTTTAAGAATGCCTTTAGCGCGCTTTTGAAAGAATACTAGACTTGTACTCAAAAGCAGCAGGATGAGTGGAGAAACCCTTCAGAGCAATACAGCTCTAACTTGGGCAGCTTTAAAGCTACAGGGAAAAGAACTACAGGCATTAGAACCATATCTGAGATTGGAATTTTTTTTGTAAATCATTGTAGTTATAGATCCTGCTGGACCCAATTTCGCAACAGTTTTTATGGCATTTGTTAAGTGAATCATGCAGTTGTTCAGCTTTTCCAGTTAGCTTTTCTAACGGGTGCCTTTTGCTGGAAATCAGGGGGAAAAAATCACAATTGTAATCATGTGATTGCAAGATTCTGTAGCAGCAGATCATAAATGTGAGCCATTTGGTAAGCAAGGTGAAAATGCCCCCCCCCTCATGATGCAGGAGGTCAATTAGGCCACACCCACCATGGCCACACCTACCCAGCAACCGGGCAGAGAACCTGTTGTTGAAATTTTTGAAGCCCACTCCTGGATATTCCTCATGTTAATTATAGGTTTAACAGCGCAGAACTGCAAGAGTGCAAAAGAGTGTACATTACCACACATGAGGCAATTCTCAATGTGGGGATTTCCCATCTGTTTCTGACAGGGCCCATTTGCAATGGCACTTGCTGTCTCTAAACTGATTTGTTTCATTATTTAAAGGGAACTAAAATGGAAAAAGATATATCAGAACCAGTTGTTAGATAAAGCAACAGCAAATTATATTATTTTGTAACATATATTTGGGGAAAGGGATGGAAAAGTATGACATTTCCGGTGGACAACAGAACGTTTGATGTAAGACTAAACTACAGAATTGGATCTCATCAGCACACTAATGATATTTGGCCCCGTGCTAACTAACCACCTCTCCCAGCAGTTTCATGTAGATGTTTGGAGAAATGGGGAGAGCAGAGAATGTTGAACACAGAGTAGAGGTGTCCATGCAGACCTCTCATCTCCACTACCACTGACTGGGACTGCCCCCTCAGGAAAGAGGAAAGAGGAATAACAGAAACACAAATTCCTCAGAATCAGTCAGGTCTCTTTTGAGTCTAAGTTTTCAGTAAGCCGAGTATTGCCTGGAAGTCCTGAGGCAAGGACTCCTAAACCTGAAAAGGGAGAATTGTCTGTGACATGATGAATGCTCAAAACCTGACTCAGAACTTTCAGAACTTTTCAAAACTCCATAGAGGATATGCACAAGTAACAGCCTCATAGCTGAGAATACAGCGTAGTTATCTTCCAGTCCACCAGATTCAATTCTCCAGAATTAATAACAGTAGTTATTGGATACTATAGGTAAAATTTGTAGTCTTCAAGAAAGCTCTTAGTAAAAGCTCCTAGTACTTTGTTCTGATTTTCCTTCCCTTGTTTCTCTCTCTTCCCCCAGCCTTTGCACAGTTGTCTTGCCAATACTCTAATCACTCCTTCCTTAACCCAGTTCTCTCCTGCTATGCTTCAATTCTCAGTCAGTATAACTACTGGTGGTATTGGCTGGGAATGCTGCATTCAAGCAGGGTTTTCTTGGTTTGTGTCATACCTTAGTTTGACCTGACCTGCTTTCCCTTCCATGAACCCTTCGAAAAGGGAAAGACAAAGAGAAATGGAGTTACTGTGTCTCTTCAGGGTCTGCTGTTCTCCTAGTCATTGGCCAGACTTTTAGTTGACTTTGCTTCTGCAGAAAAAACATCCTTAACATTTAGTTGATCAAATCATGTGGGATGGCATTAGTGTATGTTTGTGTATGTGTGTTGAGGGGAGAAATGTTCCATTAAAAACATTCCCATTCGGGATGTCTACAACTGTAGAGTGTTGCCACAGCAGGCAGATTTATTTTCAAAGATCCATAATCATTCCTACAGGTACTTCCAAAATCTGTATCATTATATGAACAGTTATTTTAATAACCATAGAGATAAACCTAAGCTAATGCCATCCCATGATGAGTAGAGGGAAACATCATAGCAAGGTCTTCTATATCTTTCCCTTCTGCCCTTTTCCCTGGCCAGGGTTTCATGCTGAAAATGGGATGTTAGCAGAAAATAAGACTACGCTGCCATGCCTTTCCCTTCAGTTGTGTTTTCTAAGTGGAAGGAAGTGGGTATATGGAAAAGCAAAGAATTGAGATTTTTCCTGAAATTTGAAATAGCACAGCTGAAGATAGAGATAAAGTAAACTTCAAATCAAGACCAATTAGAGGAAAGGCTTCAGGAAATCTCAACAAAAAGCTCTCATCAGGGCTTAAATTTTTTTATTG